GTAATCGTGATATAATATTATGTAATAATATATTAAATTAGCTTATATTATATGCCATGTCATGTCGCTTCGCTGCGAACGCGGCGGTGTTGTTTTGCTCCGCGAATTTAATTTTTTTCTTTATGTTAAGAACGTTTAAAATACTGAAATAAGTGATAACTAAGTGAACTTTAAATTTAATGTTGTGCAGAGTATTGTGTTTTACTCTTAAAATACCTATAAACTTTGAAAATTGCAAGTAAATGTTAACGAATAATTAACCTACTACAGCGCCGTTATAAACTGTGACTTATAATTTTATTATTGTACCCGACGCGACGGTAGTGAATCTTTCCCGTGTCGATTGGAAAAAACACTGTTGTAGTTATAGCGTCTTTGTTGCTGTGCGTATTTTGCTTCGGGCATTTATTGCTGTGCCAAGATATAATTTATTTAACACGACAAGTACAACTAAAATTATATTAAAATATGGATCAAGATTTTATTGAATGGGGTTGTTGTTCTTTAGGGTTTAAAGATGATATTTATAAGCTTTGTAATACATGTAACAAGGCATATCATCTTAAATGTCTAACCAATGATGACGATAATTTGAAAGCGATAAAACATGCTATTGACTGGATCGGTCCATGTTGCATTAGACCTCTCCACGCGACTGGCAATAAGGATAACACACCAGTAAAATGTGACCCTAATATTACAGTACGAGCCTCTAAAAGACAGGCATTGTCATCCCCCCCGGAAATCGAAGGCCCTGTAACACGTACTGAGGTGCGTAACATTATGGAGGAAATTATTCAAAAGCATATATCAGACCTTATGGTTCAGATGACCAAAAGCGTGCGTTCCATTCTAGATACTGAATTTAAAACATTTCGGGAAGAAATTTGTGACATGAAGCAGAAAATGGATGATATGAATAAAAAATGTGAAGATATTCAAAATAAAAATACTAAAACTCTGGAAGATACTAAGAGTCTGATTGAAACAAATGCCAAATTGCAGAGTACTATAAAATATCTTGAGACACGCATGAACAACCTTGAGCAGAACGCTCGCAGCAACAACGTCGTAATTCAGTGTTTGCCAGAGAAGAAGTCTGAAAATCTTTTCACGGTGTTCAACAAATTTTGTAGTATAGTAAAGTGTGACATCAAAACTGAACAGATAAATCGAATAACAAGAATTGCCAAACTCAATCCGAATAATGATCGTCCTCGTTCGGTGATAGTTGAATTTAATAACACTAGAGTACGAGATAGCTTCTTAGCAGCCACAATCAAATTTAATAAAGCTAACCCGGATAACAAGTTGAACTCTAGTCACCTTGGTTTTAATGGTCTTAAGACTCCGGTATACGTAACAGAGCACTTGTCAGCTGCAAATAAAGAATTGCATTCGGCGGCGAGGAAGACTGCAAAAGAAAAAGGGTTTAAATTTGTTTGGGTGAGAGGTGGACGTATCTATCTAAGAAAAAGTGAAAATTCAGGCTTTATTCTCATTAAAAATTTTGATTCATTGTCAAAACTAGAGTAATTCGCTACTTATTTCTCTAAGTTAATCATAAGTCAAAATATAATGTCATCTACTAATATTAATTCGTTTGTAATTTATTACCAGAATATTAGAGGTCTTAGGACCAAAACGCAAACATTTTATCGTAAGTTAGCAACTAGTGACTATGATATAATAGTCTTAACAGAGACGTGGTTAAATAGCAGTGTATTGAGCTCCGAACTATTTGATAACCGTTATACAGTATTCAGAAGGGATAGAGAAACGTCAGGGTTTCACGGTGGCAAGGATGGAGGTGGGGTTCTGGTTGCGGTCAAAAAAAGCTTATCATCTGACTGTATAAATGAATGGAATAGTGCATGTGAAGATCTTTGGATTGTGATAAATCTGCCTCTTTCAGTAGTTAAAAAGATCGCACTCTGCGCCGTTTACCTCCCGCCACCAATTCAACGTAGCATGTTAGAACATTTTGTTAATAATTGTAATGCGATTCTTGAGAATTTTGACGGACATCTGTGTATTATTGGCGACTTTAATATGAGTAATATAGATTGGACGCAGGTTAATCACAACTCAAGCTACTGCACCACCAGTCTTTGTCAAACATTAATAGATTTTACTTTTGTTAATAATCTAAAACAAATTAACAGTATAATTAACTCTAGAGATAAAATATTGGATCTAGTTCTTACAGATATTGATAACTGTACTGTGTCTCCTGCTTATGATGTTTTATCCAACATTGATCCACAACATCCACCTATATGCACTTATATTGCATCTGATGAAACTGAAAAACTTACGCCTAATATGAGTGTTCTTAAGTATAATTTTTATAAGGCTGATTACGAGGTAATAAATAAATATCTTTTTAGTTTGGATTGGAACTCAATCTTTTCCCTATGCACTGACGTGAATATGATGTTAGAAATATTTTATGATACTATAAATGAAGTCATTAAAAAATTTGTTCCAATTAAAAATGTTAATAGCCCTAAACGTCATCCCCCATGGTTTAATAAAGTGCTCATTGCAAGACTAAAAGAAAAAAATAAAATTCGGCTTAAGTATAAAAAATATAGTAACCCTTTAGATGAAATTGAACTACAAATTTTAAGTCATAGATGCGATAAGTTAGCTAAAGAGTGTTATAATAATTATATTGTTAACATAGAGAGAACGATTAGGCAAAATTCAAAATACTTTTGGTCATTTATCAAAAACAAACGTGGAGGGTCTAGTACCTATCCCAGGTCTGTGAAAGATGGTATTACTATAGCAAACAATGGCCACAGCATTTGTGAATTGTTTGCTGCAACTTATTCGAGGGTCTATGGTGAAAATCCAAAAGAAGGACCCCATTCTGAATTTGAAAATCTTAGAATCATTGCTAATGGGAGTTCATGTTTTTCCAGTCTTACCGTTGATCTCAATGTTATTGTTAAGAAACTCAAAACTTTAGATATTACTAAAGGTACTGGTGCCGATGGATTAGCGCCAATATTTCTTAAAAACTGTGCTGATAGTTTAGCTTTTCCTTTGTGTAAAATTATAAATAAGTCATTTATTACTGGAGTGTTTCCAGATCTGTGGAAGCTTGCAAAGGTAGTACCAGTCTTTAAATCAGGTGATATTAGTATTGTTTCGAATTATCGGCCAATCTCGATACTTTCTACATTAGCCAAGCTTCTTGAATCAATCGTTTGTCCTTATATTCAAACCTATTTCCGACAATTTATTACTGACTCTCAGCACGGTTTCGTGAAAAATAGATCAACTTTAACTAATCTTGTAACTTTTGTCGAAGATCTTGTAGATGCCATTGACAATAGAAATCAAGTTGATGTTATCTATACTGATTTTAGCAAGGCATTCGACAAAGTTTCACATTCAATTTTGCTAAGAAAATTGAGCTCCTATGGATTCACAGGAAAGATTTGGGATTGGTTTAAGTCTTATTTAAGTAACCGTTCCTTCTATGTAGTCTTGGATGGGTTTAAATCTGATACTTACGATATAACATCTGGTGTGCCTCAAGGATCACATCTTGGGCCCATACTTTTTAACATTTTCATTAACGATATAACTGATAGATTTATCTACTCTAAACCTTATCTTTATGCAGACGACTTAAAGATTTCTCGTAAAATTGTTGATGATTCTGACGTAGTACTATTGCAATCTGATTTAAATAGACTGTCACACTGGTGTAAAAATAACTCAATGAACCTAAATGTAAATAAATGTTTCCATATTAAATTTTCTCGAAATCATAACTTTATAAGCTCGCAATATATAATAGATGATTCTATTTTAAGTGAAGTAGATACTGTTTTAGACTTAGGGGTAGTGTTTGACCGCAAATTGACATTTATTCCACATTATGATCATATTGTCAAGAAAGCATCGAAAATGTTAGGATTTATTATAAGAAATGGTAAAATTTTTCGCAGTTATCAAACAAAAAAAAAAATTATATAATGCCTTTATTCGTAGCACTCTTGAGTATTGTAGCGTAGTATGGAGACCGCACTATGCTACCCATTATTTGCGGCTGGAAAGGATACAGAAGAGATTTCTTTGGCACCTGGCATACTCTTCTGGAATGGGACAAACGGGCTTCTCTTACTCTTACTCCCACAGACTAAAACATTTTAACATGGACTCTCTTGAAAAACGCAGAGCTATTATCGACCTAACTTTTATTTTCAAAATTATAAGAAGCCAAATAGACTGTCCCCAACTTCTAAGTTACTTTAAATTTAGGGTACCCAGGACACTCCCGCGTGCTCCCATTCTTCCCCTTGCCCCTCCATTTCGTAGGACTGTGCTTGGTAACAACTCTCCTGTAGCTAGGTTAAGTAAACTTTATAATGGGGTCAGTAGCCGGACAGATATAAATTTTGTTTCCTCGTACAAGTTTCGCAAGTACTTGTTAGATACAATTTCAAATTAAGTTTTTTTTTTTTTTGTATCTTTATTATACATAATATCTATATCACTGGTTGTTTTGTTTCAAAATGTTTTAATTATATTTTTTTTTCTTAACATAATATGTAAATTAAGATTTTAATTATGGTTTAGCGGTGTAAGTAATTGTGCAATTAGTATAAGACTTTATTATACATTTAGATTTAGTATGTTAAATTGTAACAATTGTAGGTAGACCTTTTTTAAATAAATAAAATAAAATAAAATAAATCAGAAATTTTAAAAAAATTGTACTCGAAATAATTTACATAATTAACAATACAATCTAACAACCTATTAATCACTGATTATATTACCTACGTAATATAATTTATGATAAAAACCAACCTCGCATGCACCACACTACTCTTCCCTGCGCATGCGCGAAGATATGAGTAGATCACATTTTTTTTGTTTGAAATATGTAGCTGTTCTAGTACGAAGTACATCATATTACTTCAACAATTAATGCACACATAAAAATCTCATAAGTGACCTTAAAAATATCATTTCAGGGTGAATGGCAAACGATACTTCACATGTCCCCCCAAATACGGCGGGTTTGTGAAACCAGCCTATGTGACAGTGGGTGACTTCCCGGAAGAACAGTTTGATTTGGAGGACGAAATTTGAGCTCACTGTTTATAATTTGCCTGAGCTTCAACCATGAGCAATTAACATATTATTGAGAGAGCTTTATACACTCTTCCATTAGTTTGCAGATAAATTACAGCGTAAATTGTGATAAATTAATAAACTCATGTAATTTATTAATTGTGGTGTATAAATAGCTTATTTACATGCCATTATTTAGTTTAAAAAGGATTTAAGTCAAACAAAACTTCTATGTATATTAGTAGATGGGCACTACGGTCTACGGTACTCTAATATATTGCGCATTAGTATACGGTCAATTCTCCGTAACTTCTTTAGTCTACTGCGAGTGGGTGAAAATACTGTTTCTTTGTTTTATAAACCGGGAGCGTTGTTTTCAATTATCTAACACTGATTATGTTTAATGTGACTAAGAAAATTTAGTGATCAACTTATTTTGTACTAGCTGTTTCCCGCGACTTCGCCCGCGTGTAATTTATTACGATTGCGCGGAGCCCAAATTCTTTTTCTAAAATAAAAGTAACCTAAGTTACTCCTTATAACATCAGCTATCTGCCAGTGAAAGTCCCATCAAAATCGATCCAGCCAGTTCGGAGATTAGACGGAACAAGCAGACGTACAGACAAAATTTTTTAAAAATTGTGTTTTTGTTTTAAGTACCGTGTATACTTTCATATGCATTTAGTAAAAAGCTGTTCAATTTTATTTATTTGTATAGATATACCTATAAACGTAGCTGTCGTAAATTAAAATACAACTGCGTACATATTTAGCGTATCAGCTACTCACCCAGCCGGTGCGCCCGTGTGATACACAATTGTGACGAAGTGTCAGTCAATTAGTACACATAGAAGTCTTTGAAGTCAAAGGTAAAAATTGATTTTGTGTGATGTTATTTTTGTACTCATGATATTGAGGACTTTGTACACAATTTCATTTTACATTTTTATTCCAAATGTAGACTTATGTATAGTCAAGAGATTATAGAATGTCACATTAAATTATATTGAATGGAATGGTTATTGAATATTAGAGTTAGACAAAAAGAAAAGACTGTATTACATTACTTTTGTGTATATATTTTTTTATTAATATTGCTAAAACATTTTAATTTTGCTTATACATTTATTGTTTACATTTTTTATATGTCATTAAATGCCCTTTAACATTTCATAATGTCGAAACATTTGTAGTTTTTGTTTTACCAATTATTGTGTTTATCAATATTTTAATTTATGTTCACTATGGAAAGCATTTTATACTTAATAAAGATTAATATGCGCATTATAAAAATAATGCACTTGTATTATTAAATTTATATTTAAGCTCCACCCCTGAAGACTAGTGTCGAGACAGCTTAGATTTTTTTTCAGCAATTTTAAGTAAGAAAAGCGTGAGGCTTTTCTTACTTAAAATTGCTGAAAAATTATCTAAGATCTACCTAAAGTCAACATCTCGGTGCGCCGGGATTACTCCCCGAAGTTACTTGCAACATCAAAAGACTGTTGAACTTCTTCGGGGAGATCTCATGGCTCGAATAATTACATTATTCCTGTCCACACGCAAAATACGGGCTTAGACATGGAGTTGCGGAAAACAGCCCGTCGTAAACTAAACTACTTCTACCTAAAGTCAAGAGTAGTGTAGTTGTACCACTTCTAGACCACCTGAGTCAGACGTGGTTCAACGACGTTCGTCGACACACGATCAGAAAAAAAAAAAGGTTTTGGCATGCTCTGATCACGAATCCGCGGTCCATTTTTGTGTAGAATGCACGGTTCCGGAGATGTGTAGATCAATTAGCTAATATCTAATTGATATCCGGTAAGGGCCTCCACCGTCATTAGCGTCCCATTGTTCCTATTTCTATTGTTCTATTGTTCATTAATCACCTTCATTGCAGCGTGTGCGTCGACTATATCAGTGCTATTGTATTATACTTCTTTGTTCCTAATTATACAACGCTAATCTGAATCATCAATAAAACACATTACATAATTTTGTTACAATTTTTATTTATAAAATACAAAATCTTATTACTTATTATCTATAAAATAGGAGCGAAACATCTCATCCACTAAAATATCGTTGTACAGTGTGTTCCTTGTAAATATACTCGTAAAACTATGTATTGATCATCCCTGAAACTTATATAGCAAATACATTAAGCAATATTCGCCACAAACTGAAGTCCACTCATTCTGAATCCTATCAACATTCCAGTTCCATCTTTTACAATTCCTTTTTAAAAACTCTAGATGATATCGTACAGGTGATCGTCCATATGAATCAAAATATTGACCGACGTCATTCGTATCGATATATAAAGCTACCCAATGTGACCCTGGTTTATCATCTGTATCCAAATTACATATTATATACGTTGGTACGTGGGTATACATAGGCAGTCTATTAGCTGCATAAACATTATTTTCTAGACTGGGGTGAATCTTTTTCAGATGTTGTTGTACATCTAGTGTATCCATGATATTACTGCTATTAGTACATTATTACAGTACCAATCTACTCAATGAATAACATAGGAATGGTCAATTATAGTGATTTCTAAATATTAAATTGCATTTTTGTGTTATACAAATCGTACTTGAGTCATTGATCACCAAACAAAACACAATACGAAGAAATGTTGAGATAGACAACGGAAATGTGAGATAAACTGGTTGACGCATAAAGTAATTATCAACTCATTACGGAAATACTTTAGATTAGAATTTTTACGTACTGGTGGTATATAAGACCAACAGACGCAGTCATCGAGTTAGTGTACGGTCGTTTGACTACAGTGGATCTATGAATAGTACATTTGTGTTACTTCAATACACCAAAGGCTATGGATGTAAGTGTTTATTCTATTGACTAAATTACTTTTTTTCTGTTATTTTCATGTGTGTGTATTACTTTATTTAAATATTGTGTATGTATATGATTAAGCCGTGCTAACTCAGATGGTTAGCGCTAGCTGTAAATTTCACAGTACGCGACCCGGGTTCGATCCCCGCCAGCACCAATTAAATTGTTAATCGCAATTTTAAGTGCTTATTACCACGTGCTTGGTGGTGAAGGAAAACATCGTGAGGAAACCTGCATGTCTGAGAAAATTTCGAAGGCATGTGAAGTTCGCCAACACACATTGAGGGAGCGCGGCGGACATTTCCTTGCTCTAAAACCCTCTCAGAAATGAGAGGAGGCCTATGTTCAGCAGTGGACTTTAATAGGCTGTAACTTTAACTTTTTTAACTTTTATGATTAAGTGTTAACAAATTGATATTAACATGATAACTGTGTTGTTGCAGAAATCATTGAGCTTCGATGAAGATACCTATAAACAGTATTACTACTCGCCACTCTCCCCTCAAGAAGAGAGTGATAACCTCGTCATTAATAATAACACATGCGATGGTGGAAAAAGAAAATCGCAATCGATTGATCATTTTTTTGAAGCTGAATCAAAAATAAAAAAGAGGAAGGGAAAACTTCAGTGAAGTGTGCACCAGTGCTTTTTTCTCCACAATCATGGAAGAGAATACGGAACTATTCAATAGCGAATTAAATCAGGAGTTGTCTAAAGTTTGTGAAGAAATGGAGAGGGGTCAACTGTTCGATTCGTCATACGATGATGAGTTGTATCATCACTGTGCGATGGTTGAAACAGTTTAAGTATGTAAAATAAACATTCATTTCGATCATAATTTACATATTGTCTTATACAGTTTTTAATAAATTTAAACATTTTAGCAGTCAACCACTACAACTTGGAAGAGGAACGAAGCGAACGTGCAGCAAAGAATCCAAGATCATCAAAAAACCAACAACGGAAGCAGAAGCGCATACCTCTGCAGGGAACAGTATCAGTAACGATGATCAAGTGGAATGTCCAACGTGCCATATATTTATCAAGAAACGGTATTTAGCTAATCATTTTAAAAGTAATGTTCATAAAAATAATCTTTTAAATTCACATAATTCTTTATCAAACGTTAGTGTTATTGAATCTGCTTTTGGAAATAGGATTTTAACTTATAAAATCAAGAGTAGAGTAGATCGTTCGACATGGGTAAATTTTGAAACTCCTGAACTATTTTTAAATTCTATTAAAGATGATATTTTATTTTTATTACAAGAGTGTATTCATCAACACATAATTTTTAAGGTAAACTTCATATTGCATGCTGATTTTGTTCAACAAACTAAAGATATTCATGATACGTTCGATTTTCAAACGCTTAACTATATTATTTGTCAAGGAGATGACTTAAATATTTTTCTTTCATCTTTAAATGATACAATTACTACTAAAATTAGTGCTTTCGAAAAAAAAGATAGTGGATGGAGTCTAAAAAACATAAAATCTATAGACATGAATGTTAATAAATTTAACCCCCTACGCGGTACTTCATACATAGATCTTCCTCGTGACATAAAATTAAAAAAGGCTGTTATAAATGTAAAAAACAAGGATTATTTTTGTTTTAAATGGGCGTTACTCTCGGCGTTATATCCTGTAAACAAACACACCGATCGGGTATCATCGTACGTTAAACATGCAAATAAACTTAAATTTGATGGTATTTCCTTTCCGGTTAAAATTTCTGACATAGCAAAAGTAGAGAAATTAAATGATATTAGTATTAATGTTTTTGGGTTAGAATATAATAAAGAAAAACGATGTAATTCTATAGTAGGTCCATTATTTTTAACAAAGTGTCGTAAAGATAGACATATCAATTTATTATTTTTTTCCAAGGATACAAAAAATCATTATTGCTATATAAAAAATTTATCGCGGTTAGTTAGTAAACAAATTTCAAAAGACGGTCACATCATGTACATTTGTGAAGCATGTCTACTTCGTTTTCCATCTCAGGAAAGGTTAAATAACCATGAACAATACGATTGTGCCCACATTTGTACAGTATTACCAAACAGTGAAACTTTAAAAAAAAAAGAATTGGTTTGGTCAACCTATTTCAAATGATAAAATTAAATTTGATAGTTAT